CACTGGGACTAGATTGGGTTATGTCAACAAGAACATTCAATCAAGGAATACTGCCAAATATAGGGTGTTAACTTGTGATCCCACGGACTTGGGAGACTGAGGAAGGAGGATTGCAAGTTCAAGACCACCCTGGAAAATTTAGAGCCTTTCTCAAAATAATACAGAAGGCTGGGGATATAGTCCAGTTGGTCAACCTATTTAAAGTCCATGAATTGGATGGGCACAGGGGCCACACCTGTAATCCCAGCACTGTGGGAGGCCGAGGCAGGAGGACCTCAAATTCAATGCAAAAATGGGCAATTCAGTGAGACTCTGTCTCAAAAAAAAAAAAAATGGTGTGTGGGGTGGAAATGGGGCAGCTGGGGATGTGGCTCACTGGTAAAGGACCCCTGTGTTTAATCCCTAGTAGTCCAACCCCCCCCCAAAGAATCCCTCTGTGGGAAACGCCACTGTGGGTTTAAGAGGAAACAGTAGCCCGCGTGAGATGTTTTCTTGGTTGGTTTGTTTGTTTGGTCCAGGGGGTTAGACCCAGGGGTGCTTAACCACTGAGCCACATCCTCAGCCCTATTTTATACTTTATTAGAGACAGGGCCTCACTAAATCGCTGAGGCTGGCTTTGAACTCWCCATTCACCTGCCTCAGCCTCCCCAGCTGCTGGGATTACAGGCATACATCGCGGCCACTGGCCCTTTTCGTTTTTTACTTTGGGATGAGGTCTCACCAAGTTGCCCTGGCTGGCCTCAAACTGGCAATCCTCCTGCCTCGGCCTCCAGAACGGAAGGATTTACGGGGATGCGCGGGGCCGACTCCTGGAAGTTCTTGTGGCGCCTCCCCAGAAGAGGCCCAGCCTCGACTGAGATGACGCAATCCACCACAGAAYGCGTGAGGGGAGGAAGGCAGGAGGGGGGACCAAGAAGAGGGGCCAGTGTGTGAAGGGAGCCGGGAAGACAGAGCAGAAGTGAAGGTCCAGGGCTCGTGGGGTTGCCTCACCGCCTCAGCTTCCCCTTTCTAGAGCCACTCCCCTCTGTGAGCCGGGCAGGCAGGGGACCCGCAGGTGAGGAAGCGTGTCTCTGCAGCTGTCTCCTCTCTGAGATTGCAGTCGCCTGTCCTCGGGCCTGCGGACGGTCCGCGGKGGGCATGCTGGAACCGCCCGCTCTCCTGTGTGCCCCAGCAGCCAGGTCTCTGGCCGGTCCAGAGGGCCCCATGCTGCCGGCCACTGCCGGGGATGGCCTCTGCCGCCTGTCCACCTACCTGGAAGAACTCGAGGCTGTGGAACTGAAGAAGTTCAAGCTGCACCTGGGGACTGCCGTGGAGCTGGGGGAGGACAAGATCCCCTGGGGACGTCTGGAGCCCGCTGGGCCCCTGGAAACGGCCCAGCTCCTCGTGACCCACCTGGGGACCMGGGAGGCCTGGCTGCTGACTCTCCGCATCTTTGATCGAATCCACAGGAAGGACCTGTGGGAGAGAGGACAGAGAGAGGACCTGGTGAGGGGTAAGGAGGTGGTGGGACTGTCACGGGGTCCCTCTTCTCCCACAGACACCTGAGCCTGGGGACATGGGGCCCCCACTCTGTCCCTTGGTTTTGTTCTTGTTGTCTTCTGCCCTGGGCACACTCTACCTCCAGTGCCCRGAAAGTTCTTATTTATCCACCAGAACCTTGAGCCACAAGTCAAGTGTCTCTTAGCTGAAAGGCTTGGGATGGGAAGTGTTTTGGACCTGGGATTATTTGGGATTTGGGAACATTGGCATATACACAGTGATGTATGTTGGGATGGGRCTGAAATCTGAGCATGAAATCCACTGTGTTTCATGTACACCTCGGATGCAGAGCCTGGAGGGMCGTCATACAGAATTTTTATTTGTCTCCATGGTCACCCATGTTCAGGTGTGGAATTTTCTATCCGTGGCATCAGKTCAGCCCTAAAATCTTTGTATTTGTTGGTTTCTGAGTTTCAGATTTTTCAGATGAGGGATGCTCAACCTAGGTTCTAGCTTCTCTACAAATTCTGTACTCCCTGCTCCTTCCGCTCCCTACCACTGACCGCCTGACTGCTCTAACAATCCTCTCCGCTGCTTCCTTGACATTCTCGGTTTCTTGTATTCTGCTTCCATCTTATGAAATCGTCACAAGGGTGCCAACCCRTGTGGATTCCTTTCTATGCCCTGTGCACGGTATCCCAGGGCATGTTTAAAATGCTGGGTGAAACCGGGCATGGTGGTCTACAACTGTGCTCCCAGAGACTCCGGAGAGTGAGGGAGAAAGTCACAGATTCAAGGACAGCCTGGGCCACTCCGTGAAACCCTAAGCAACTCAGTGAGACCCTGTCTCAAATAAAAAGCAGAATGGGCTAGACATGGAGCTCAGAGGTAGAGCACC